TACACCTCTCCCCCACCCTGGATATAGGTGAAATATTAAGACTGGAAAAATTATTTTTATTTCCAAAAAATTGTTAATGCAAGATTCCTTCGTTTTTTGTTTTTTTTTGTTTGTTTTTTTTTTTTCTACAGTGAGGTTCACCCTGTACAAGGCCCAGGGGCCACTTGATGTACAGGGTTACACAGAATGAGACAGTTTATGCGGATAAGAGGGGAAGATAACCGTTAACCCTAGATTTGAACATGTAGCAATATACTGTTATAAAATAAACTAAGACATATCTCGGCTGATTTACAGGCATATACGCAAGAGCGAGAGCCGGATGTGAACGGGACAAAACCCCGTCACAAAATGACCATTATCTTCATTTACAAATGTTCCCAACACTCGAGTTCCAGTCGAAAAATAAAATAATATTTAAAGTGTTCTATTTTTCGTCCAATAAAAATGCTTCCCTCCTAATTATACTCGTTTCGTTTTTCGAGCCTGTTAAGCCATAAAACAACGCTATAAAAGGGGTCACACGGAAGTTCAACTGGCAGTCCACAGGTGCCCAGGATAGAGACCTGTCACGTTCAGCTGCTGACAGCAGGGGAGCGTCAACCACCGTCAACATGTGTGAACTACTATGAGGGATCGACCTAGATCCGAAGCCGGCTTATGAACTTTACCACAAGGTAGCTGTCCCAAACCCACACGTTCCTGTTGAAATAAACCACGTAAATCTATTTCTGCTGTTGTCGTATTTATTTCTTGCAACCATACGCTTGTCTATAATAATACCAACCTATACAGGTTATCCAAATCGAAGGGAATCTTCGAGATAGAAAACTCGGCAAAGTTTAACCTTTGAGTCCGCAAAAAACGGTGTTTCAAAAGGAGTTTTTTTTCCTTCTGTTGACACCGCTATTACTGTATCCTCGACTCCTTCGGCAATGTTTATTTGCAAGATTATAAAAAAATATATGAATCAAGTACAATGCAATATTTACGGTTACATCTGGCTATTTCAACAGCAAAGCAATGAGATCTAGCTGCCAATCTAGTAATACGTTTAAATTTATGTAGTGAAAGTAATAAGGAGGAAAGCTCATTAGAACAGTTGCTATAAAAATATTTATAGAAAAGACAGAGGGAAGCTACGCCACGACGGTCGGAAAGTAACTGAAGTTGAGATACCAGGTCAGGACCGATAACATTACAGACACTTCTTTAGAATTTGTCAGGAATATCGAGATATATAGCAAGAACATCAGGCAAGATATGATAGGAATAATCAAAACAGAGACAAATCGTAAATTTATAAACGTGCAAGATGAATTCTAACGATAGACTTGAAATTCTAAAAAACTGGAGTAGAAGTTGCAACTGAACAGAAACAAAGTGGCAGGGCCAGACGGAATTGTAACGGAAATGCTGACAGCCCTAAATAACTTTGGCATAGAGAATATCACAGAATTAATACATGAAATCTACAACAGTGGGGATACACCGGAAGATCTCAGCACATCTATTTTCATAGCACTGCCTAAGAAACCAGGCACAAACGAACGTGAACTCCACCGAACAATCAGCCTAATGAGCCACGTAACAAAACTCATCATCCGTATTCTGATGAATAGAGCGCACAGCAGAATCAGGCCAGAGATAGGACAAGAACAGTGCGGGTTCGTTAAAGACATCGAAACAAGGAACGCGATATTTATGCTCAGAATGTTATCAGAAAGAGCAATACAAATACAGAAGGACATGTACCTGTGTTTTATACACAACGCAAAGGCGTTCGACAAAGTACGCCACAAGGATCTGTTGGAACTTCTCAGCAACCTTGATATATTCAGGAAAGCATATTAGAATAATCAAGAACCTATACTGGCAGCAAACTGCCTGCATGCGGATAGAGAATGAACTCAACGCATATACAAAAATAGAAAGGGATGTAAGGCAAGGATGTGCCTTCTCGCCGGAATTATTCAACCTGTACAAAGGGGCAGTTTTGAGAGAACTGGAAATCCTACCAGAATTCAGCATTGGTGGTCACAATCTTAACAACATAAGATACGCAGGTGACACAGTGCTGATAGCAAACAAGGAAAGGAAATTACAAAACCTCCTACAGAAGGTAGCGAAGGAGAGCGAGAAGAAGGGACTAAGCATAAACAACAAAACAGAACGCATAGTCAGCAGTAAAAGGATGAGCCCGAAATGCGATTTGCAGGTCGGGGACACTAAAATTAATCAGGTGCGGAAGTTTAACTATCTGGGAAATGTTTTGACGAAGGACGGTAAGTGCGACGCTGAGATTCGAAGACGTATTGTGATGGCCAAGGACGCATTCCAAAAGCTGGGTAGAGTATTGCGAGACAGGAGGATTTCTTTGGTAACAAAGAAAAAGAGTACTGAGCTGCTACGTGATATCTGTCCTCCTCTACGGCAGCGAATGTTGGACGGTCTCCTCAAAGATGAAGAAGAAAGTCGAGGCAATGTCGGTATGGTTCTACAGAAGGTTGCTAAGAATATTATGCACCGAGCGTGTGAGCAACGATTAGGCTTTGGAGAGGATGCAAACAAGGAGGAAGCTTATATTTAACCTCAGGAAGAGGCAGCTGAATTTTCTGGGACACGGAATGAGAAAGGAGGGCCTGGAGAATCTGATACTCACAGGTCGAACAGACGGAAAGAGAGACAAGGGAAATCAACGCATGACATACCTGGCGGGCTCAAGTAAGTGGATGACAGAACGTTGTCTGGGGAAGGTGGCAGAGGGACGAAACTCATTGAGAGCTACAAAACACAGGACGATGTGGAGAGCCATGATCGCCTAAGTCCTGAAGGGACACGGCACATAAAAAGAAAAAGAATGTTGTATTTAGAAACATTGTATTTTGAATTTTTCTAGTTGAAATGTTCCCCCATATTGCATATGATCGATTATTGTAGGTTACAATCAAAATTTGTATTTTATATAATTTTATATGAATACTACCTCATGAAAATTGAGATGTAGTACATTGGGGGCGGGGGCTATCATAGATTCGGGAGGAGTACGAACCTCTATGTGCTGGGGCGTACTACACATGACCCCCAGACTGCAAGGAGCCTGATTGGGGGCCTCGGGCAGTGCTTTATGACCCACGCTTTCATAACAACAGTTGCTTTTTTTTTCTACCTACATTTATATAAGTTACAAATTAAACTAAGCAGAACTGTTTTGCTCATGCTAAGTCTCGAAAAACGAGGATATAAAAGTTACTACTTTTTATTCATAATGCTGAATGTGTTAAAATTAAATTATTGAACTTTTTAACAAGAAAAAATTCAAGTTGATGTTAAAAATTGCCGCAATTGTTGATTTATTTAAAATGGAAAGATCTATTATGACTTTTCTTTAATTTGTATTTAGATACATTGTATTTATTTTCAATTTTTCTAGTTGAATTGTTCGCCTATATTGCATGTAATCTATTATTGTACATAATTAGGTTTGTGGATGTTATGGCTATTAGTGCTGGGTTGATTCTTTCACCTAAACATCCAAAAACTTGTTGAATGCCTTCGTCGCTGAAATAAATTGACAAAGAAAAGACGGAAGGATACAGAGACACTAGAGGGACAGTTTAGGACACTGATTTTATTTCCTTCTTCTGGATTCCAACAAGCTCTTGTCGGGGAATTTCTTCCCGAACAGTTGGCACGTGTTCACCAGTCAAAGGTGCAACCGAGAAAGAGATAGATTCTTCTAGTTTATCTTTGGCGCCAGGAAATCTCTCTTTTTTTTTTTTTGCACATGGGTAAATTGTCTTTCCTGTCAGAGGACTCCTGGGAGATTTTAATGTTTATTTTATTTTGTACTTTTATTTAATTTTGTATTTTTATTTTATTTTGTATTTTTATTTTATTCCCACAGGTTACAATAAACTTTGAAAAAAAAAATTGAAAAATGAAAATTGAAATATAATAGAGTTGGGTGGGGCTCCGTATCATAAATTCGGGTACAGGCTAAACACCAGACCCGTGCACCGGTCATGTACCGAAGTATAGTTTTCTAGAATAACACCAGTTATAAAACAGCCTAGTCTAAATTATATCCCCTTTTATTATTTAGATCAAGCATCTACTTAACTTTTTAGTGCTAGGACATGGTTGTAAAATTTGGCGAAGATTTGGGACGTGCCATAGTTTCAGGAGGAAGGAGCCACGGGACCCTTGCCCTGGTGATTATATGCAAAGTTTAATGTGCTTAAGCGACAGTGGTTAGGGTTGGGTTTCTGATTCCTACTAAAGTCAACTTCAGCTCTATACTATTATTCCCTGTTTAGGATTTTCCCCCGGTTCCTTCAAACGTCTACATGAACTCTATACTCTTTTAAACAGGAATAGAGGTTTATCCCTTTTTTCCTCTTTAGTCTTTAGGGTTGGGTTTCTGGTTCTTTCTAAAGTCTTCTAATTGTCTTTCGCTCCCAGTAACCTCTTGCGTCTTGGAACTGAAAATGGACTGAGGGGTATGGCATCTGCCCGATGAGACACTGGAAGCATGATGGGCAGATTGATTATTATGTTTAAATTTCAACTGACCACAGCGCTGAGTTAAAAGTATTTCTGGCTGGAGCATTTCTATATACCAGTTGACACGGGCTGAAGCAATTGGGATATTGGAAACGATATTTTTTTCTTTTGTTTGCAAGCTCAAATAATGACAAATTACCACATGGTCACATGGAATCTGCTACATTATCTCCCATAGAGAGGATTAGTGACTTTTCTTCACTTTGCCTTCAGTTGTCTTTGCTTGAAGTTATTTTTTTTTCAGATACATGCCCGTTTTATTAATGTTATCGGAGGTAAATGAATATTGCAGATGATGTCGGATTTAAAATCCCTGTGTGGGCTTCAAAGCTCACCGCCGAGCTCTCAAATAGTACGAAATAGTGGAGATTGGTTAGAAAACAAGAAGGAAAAAAAGGAGAAGCTCGAGGAAAAGAAGTAACAGTGAAGATCAGTTAAAAGAGATAAAAGAAAGAGAGAAAGAAAGAAAAAGGAAAAGAAAGAATCCGTAACAGAGAAGAAAGAAAGAAACATAAAACAAAAAAGAGCCTGTAACAGAAGAAAGAAAGAAAGAAAGAAAGAAAGAAAGAAAGAAAGAAAGAAGAGAAGCAATGCATACAAAAGACCAAAGAAATAATCTGTAGCAGAGAAAGAAAGAAAGAAAGAATGCATATCAAAAAGAGAGAAGGAAAGAAAACGAAATGAGGTTAAGAAAGAAAGAAAGAAAGAAAGAAAGAAAGAAAGAAAGAAAGACAAAATAAGTTAAAGGAGGACAAGGGAACTGGAAAGAAAGAATGCATAGCAAAGAAGAAAGACAAAGAAACGAAAGAACGAAAGAACGAAATAAAGAAAAAATAAAGAAAGTATAAAGAAAGAAAGAAAATAAAATAAGGCAAAGCTAAGGAAAGTGAAAGGAAAAGAAATGAATGTAAGTCAAGAAAGAAAGATGGCAGAGATTAAGAGAATGAGGTAAAGAAAGGAAAGAAAGAGAGAATTTGCTAAGAAAGAAAAAACACATTGGATATAAAGGAAATGAAAGAAATCACCTGAAAGAAAAAGAAAGAAGAAAAAAGAATCAGATAAATTAAGAAACAATGAATAAAGGGAAGAAAAAATCCAATAAGACAAAAATATACAGATAAGCAATTAGCGTAGGTGAAAAACGAAGTCTGTATGCGCGCCGTGGAGGAAGTGGTGGTGGTGATGATGTGGGGGGGTTGTTATCTTTGCACACACACACACACACACACACACACACACACACACACACACACACAGTCCTGCCAATTCAAATATCTTTCTGTGCTGATGAAGGTGCTGTCGAATCCAGCGTTTGGATGATTCACACTAGGTGGACGAATGAACATGAAAGAAATGATAAATGCAAAAAATATTACCGAAGTTTCTTTGATAAAGAAAAAAACGATGTCGACTCTTTTGAGGAAAGGAGAAAGAGAAGTGATCAGAACTAAATAAAGAAATGGAGAAGATTCTAGAGAAAAGAAGGAAAGAAAATAAACAGAGACAACTGACGCTTTGAAGAAAGAAAGAAAGAAAGAAAGAAAGAAAGAAAGAATCCATGGTAGAGAAGAAAGAAACAGGTAGTTCGTAGCAGAGAAGAAAGAAAGAAAGAAAGAAAGAAAGAAAGAAAGAAAGAAGCAATGCATAGCGGAGAAGAAAGAACGAATTTGTAGCAAAGAAGAAAGAAAGAATGTATGCGTGACAGAGAAGAAAAAATAAATCAACATGCAAAGAGTGTGGAGATATTAAGAAAAATAAAAGAAAAATGCATATCCACAAAAGAAAGAAAGAAAAAAAGAAAGAATCAGCCCGTAACAGAGAAGGAAAGGAAAGGAAAGGAAAGGAAAGGAAAGAAAGAAAGAAAGAAAGAAAGAAAGAAAGAAAGAAAGAAAGAAAGAAAGGCTGAGAAGGAAAAGAAACTACAAGCAAACAAAGAATGTGACAATATTAAGAAAAAAAAACAGATTGCATATCAAAGAAAGAAAGAATGTATGATAGAGAAGAAAGAAAAATAATAAGTAAAAATGAGTAAAAGAGAAAGAAAGAATGTCATAGCTGAGTAAATAGAGAAAAGGAATGAAAATAATGAGAAAAGAAAAAAATCGAATGAACTCAAAAGAAAGAAAAAAAAGAAAAGAAATTTAAAAAATATAGAAAGAGTGACAAAAAGAAAACACGCGAAAAGTTCCATAATAAATGAAGAGAGGAAGAAAGAATGATTAAGAGAAAAAAAAGCAGAAGAAAAAAGAGAATGAAAGAAAATGCGCCATCAAGAAACTTAGAAATTTCCAGAAATAGGCCCTGAAAGTGAAAAGGAAAGAAAAAAGGCGCGAAAAAAAAACAAAACAAAAAAACAAACAAGAAACAGAAAGAAACGATGACAGAGAGGTTGAAACAGAGAGAAATAGTGAGTGGACGAGACTGAGAGAGAAAGAAATGAAGAGTGGACGAGACAGAGAGAAAAATAGTAAGTGGGCGAGACTAAGAGAGAGGGAGAAATAGCGATTGGACGAAACTGGGAAAGAAAGAAAGAAATAGAGAGTGAACGAGACTGAAAGAGAGAGAGAGAATGGTGAGTGGACAAGACTGAGAGAGAAAGAAATAGTGAATTGACGAGACAAAAAGAGGATTGGAAGAGACAGGGAGAGAGAGAGAGAGAGAGAAATAGTAAATGAGTGAGACTGAGAGAGAGAGAGAGAGAGAAATAGTAAGTGGACAAGACTGAAAGAAAAAGGGAGATAAAGAGAAATAGTGAGTGGACGAGACAGAGTGAGAAAGAAAGAGAGAGAGAGAGAGAGAGATGAAAGAACAGAGAAAAGATGGGGAGAGAAGAGTGGGGCAAAGATTGAAATTCTCAGCTTTTTATGCAACTGAAACAACAAACACTCGCTTTTTGTAAACGCAATTAACAACCTCATGATGTTCAGTTCGTCTGTGTTCTTCTTCGGGGGCGGTTTGCAGAATAATCGTGGTTCAGTGATAAAGACACGACTGGGCAGTGGGAAATAGGGGTTGCTAGATCCCGATTTAGTCTTCGTCTCAATAATTCACCTCACCAAAGTTGGGCATGCCTTATTAAGTACAACGGTAGTAGGTCTTTTTCTAATCCCCATGTTCGAGGCCAAAATTAATTTTTTTAGTTGTTTCAAGAAATTTTAATGTTGTCAGAGAGAATAGTTTTTACGGGCTTCATCCTGGCATCATTAGGAACACTGCATTTATAATTTAAATTAGATATCTTCACTGATTTGCTAAAGAAATTAGTATACCATGATTAGAAAATGACCCAAATTTAATAAAATCAAAATTTTATCGCCAAAACGTTTATGCTATTATTACGAGGAAAGACCGGAAGATTTTTTGATGATGAAATTATATTTTTTCATCCTTTTTAGAATGTTCGAAATTTTAACTAAAAAAATTGTTTTTCTTGCATCAGCGAGCAGACCAAAGATAGGGAATTTTAATGCCTTTTTTGCGGTGAAAAACACATTGATTTGAAAATTCTTGCAGAAATACAATAATTGTCAGATTTTACAGAAACTGTTATAATATATTTGTTCAAAATAGCTGATAATTTGGATGGCCGTAGTTAGAAAGAGTATCAATGGAACAGTAGACTTGGTTAGAGGAAACAAATAGAATAGGTATATTAAATACTCATACACTGAAAGGAAAAAACTTGAGCAAATTAAATACTACTCAAATCCTACTCTAATATGGATACTCCTCATATTTATAAGTAAGAGCAGTCCATTGTCACAGAATCCTACTCTACAATGTTTATTATTATACAGCTTCCAGAAGATCCTGTCCTGGAAGATTTGATGCAAGACACTGTTGACTTAGAAGAATAAAAAGTACCGGTAATTCAGATTTGTCATTTTGTCTTTGTTCATAATAGCTGAGAATTAGAAAGGGCGTAAAGAAAATATCGAGGAAACAGAAGACTAGGTAAAGGAAACAAAGAAGAGGTTTATTAAATACTCATACATAGACCGGAAAAAACTTGAGTAAATTAAATACTACTCAAGTCTTACTGTAATGTGGCGACTTGCCATATTTATAAGTAGGAACAGTCCATTGTCACAGTAGTAGCGAAGAACAGGACTTACGCTGAGTTCTCAGGACTTATTCACAAATTAATTAAATTATTTTAGAATTTTTTTAATTATTTTACATACACCACTTAATGTTTATATTAGTTAAAAACAAAAATACTTGGAGAATCTAAATCATATTTTCCTAATTTTTAAAGATTACGGGTTAGTAAAATATTATATAAAAAAATTCGACAAGTACATTTTACATTTCAACCTGCTAACATTTAAAATAAACAGCTACCTCCGTATTAAAGAAATGCATCTCGGCGATATTTTAAGCTTAAAGTAATATTTGTTTCAAATCAGATTAATTAAACTTTAAATCAACTAATATTCCTCAAATAAAGTTTCAGAAAAGTATATTTTATTTTTGAAAGATTTTATAATAAAGTATTTACATGAGAAACAAAGAAAAGGCACACAAAAAATGGATGTTTCTACTATGGACCGTTTATTCGTTTTTATGGTATCTGTAGTGAAACAAAATTCTTAATGTATCTTGGGTATGTCTGTTTTCTTTTGGGTTCAGAAGTTAGGGTAAATAAGTATAAGCATCGTATAAAAGGACAAGCTCAAGTCAGCCGAGGGCAGAGCTAGAACGACCAAAGGAAGTTTTGAACTTACTTTATTGTTGGAAGGTTTAAACGTGGTTATAGAATGTCCGTTTTCTTTTGGGTTCAGAAGTTAGGGTAAATAAGTATAAGCATCGTATAAATCGTCAAGCTCAAGTCAGCCGAGCGCGGAGCTAGAACGACCAAAGGATGGTTTGAACTTACTTTATTGTTGGAAGGTTTAAACGTGGTTATAGAATGTCCGTTTTCTTTTGGGTTCAGAAGTTAGGGTAAATAATAAGCATCGTATAAATCGTCATAAGTCATCGGAGCTAGAACGACCAAAGGATGGTTTGATAAATTGTTGGAAGGTTTAAACGTGGTTATAGAATGTCCGTTTTCTTTTGGGTTCAGAAGTTAGGGTAAATAAGTATAAGCATCGAAAATCGACCAAAGGATGGTTTTGAACTTACTTTATTGTTGGAAGGTTTAAACGTGGTTATAGAATGTCCGTTTTCTTTTGGGTTCAGAAGTTAGGGTAAATAAGTATAAGCATCGTATAAATCGTCAAGCTCAAGTCAGCCGAGCGCGGAGCTAGAACGACCAAAGGAAGGTTTGAACTTACTTTATTGTTGGAAGGTTTAAACGTGGTTATCGAATGTCCGTTTTCTTTTGGGTTCAGAAGTTAGGGTAAATAAGTATAAGCATCGTATAAATCGTCAAGCTCAAGTCAGCCGAGCGCGGGCAAGAACGACCAAAGGAAGGTTTGAACTTACTTTATTGTTGGAAGGTTTAAACGTGGTTATAGAATGTCCGTTTTCTTTTGGGTTCAGAAGTTAGGGTAAATAAGTATAAGCATCGTATAAATCGTCAAGCTCAAGTCAGCCGAGCGCGGAGCTAGAACGACCAAAGGAAGTTTTGAACTTACTTTATTGTTGGAAGGTTTAAACGTGGTTATAGGATGTCCGTTTTCTTTTTCTTGTTCCAGAATTTAGGGTAAGAATTTTAGTAAGTATAAGCATCGTATTAATGGTTGAGCTCGTTAGCATTGCACAACGTTGCAACAGCCAAAGAGAAAACTTGATTTACTTCATAGGTGGTGGTTTTGAAAAGAGACGCGCGAGTGCAATGCGTTGGAAAGTGAAGAGCGCGTTCAGTTGTCAGTGAACGGGGGAAACAAACATTTCCCAGTGGGAACGTAATTACCACGTGGTTCTACATTTTGGAGCAAAAAAGGAGAAAGATTATGAGTGAGGAAATATTTACCTTTTTTACGCTTCAACAGAACCACCTAACGGCGTTTCACAAAACTAAGTGGAGTAATCATATTTATGGTTCCTTTACTCTTAGCCTCATGGGAAAATGTATTTTTTTATTATTCAATCCATTATTATTATTATTTTATTCATCGATTCTTTTTCATTTTTCCATGCATTACAGGGAAAGGTTGATAGTAAAGTCACCACATAACTTTAAGAGTAAATAATGACATAATCAAGATGTTGACATTCCACACTACGTCAAACAAAATGTTAGGAAGGAAACTGTTATATACCGTAACTGTGAACACAATGGGTATGACCCAATCCTCATAAATACGTTGGACACTATTATAAGCGGGGGTAGTATGCTGTCTAAGTAGTCCACTACTAGCAGTGGTCTACCTATTTCAGCCGCTGGCGAGTATTGTATTTTCTTGATGTTATAAAGATTACCATTTCATTTCCAACTTCCGTTTTGGTTATTCCTCATTTAGTAACGCTTTTTAGGTTACAACGGAAACCCCCATCAATACTGGAAAGAGTGATAACAGCTACTGGAGAAACCTGTTTTATGGAAAAAATATTTTAAGAGAAAGATTTTATAAATTTCAGGCTTCTCAGTCAGTGAATGTCAAATGTTTCCTTATAGGGAAACTGCTAATATCAACGTTACCATTATCATATAGAACCAACAAAAAAAAAACAAAAAAAAACTATTCTTTGTAGAAAGGAAAACACACTTTCGGCCTTTAAGATAAATATTCCCTGAAAGATATGGGAAAAAACGACACGAAGAGAAACAAGACGTGACCGTTCAAGAAAGGTTTTCTAATGTCAACGAATACTCGTTGTCACTTTCGTAATGCTCGTTGTAGTAGAGACTTTGTAATTGCAGATACAACTATAGTAACGCCGTTGAACAATACTGGTGTCAGATCCCTTTGAATAACACTCGCACTCATAGTACTTGCTCGATAATACTCGCTCTATTAGTAACCACCGAATAGTGATCCGAACAAGGCCAAGTTTATAGTGGGGTATCCGAGCCCATAGGCTCGGGCAAAAATTCCCCGTAGACCCCGTTTTTACGGGGTCGGGTAACTCTCTACCACTCCAGAAGAGACTCTGCCCTTCGGCAGAGAGTTTGACAAGCACACTTCCGAAGTAATTCGGAGAGTGATCACTTAGATGTCACGCTAATTCCCATATACACATTTCCTTTACCATCACATGATCTACTTATTCAAAATAGGATCGCCCCTGTTTGCTCTCTGGTGATCTGTGTTCAAACTCCAGTGTCGGCAGTGACACTTTATTCCTATATAACACAAAGTGACCGATTTAAAGAAAAAATAGCATGACACGCCCTTTCAGTATAATGACTGGCGACAAAATAAAAAATACACCCAAAAAACGTCATGGGAAAAGGAATTCTTATTACTTACAATTGGAATTTCATATTAATCTTCCTAACCTCGAATCAATGGTCATTTAATGCAGGGGTCGGCAACCTTTTGCTATGTGCCGACTTAGGGTTTTAAATCCTTCAGTGTGCCAACAGCATACGTATTTTTGTACAAGTCAAGGTCAATATATACCTGTTCTACAATATATTTTATATAGTAATATATACAATAATATGTAAACCACATTAATAGAAGTAAACTGTTTTTAAAATTTTTTTAAAAAGTTTTTATTATTAATGGGAGTCCAACGAGTGAGCAGTTTTGAAACAGCTAAATATCTCCTTTGCGTTGTAGTAGTTCGGACTTTGTGATGTCATTCGTGGCTGCCTGCGATTGGAA